AACTCGCCTCGCTACTAATCAGACTTGCCATACTTTGCAAAGAGCTATTTTGCATCTCTATAAGTAAACTTGCACAATGGTGGGCCTACAATAAGCATTGAAAAATACTATTCTTCACTTTTTTTATACAAGGTGTCCATTTTTAAGCACAAACAAGACATTTCTCACAATGTAAAACAAAACATTTCTTTAGAAACTGTTCTCAAGGTCACAATCCTTTGTTTTATTGTTATTGTTCTTAAATCCCTTAACATTGTGACAAAATAATAACCTTGTACTTAAAGTAATTAATTTGCAAGATTTTTTACAAAACTCATATTAATTCCAGCAACTGGTCCTATAGTTATTACACTGGCAAAACTCCCTGTGAAGTGGAATGAAGTGATGTGGCCATTCAACCAGTGAAGTTCCACCCTCCCCCACACCAGGCGGCCTCCCATTGCTTTTACACATTTCAATTGAGTATGTTTAAAATATTCTTTAATTACACTTTGCACTTAAAAGGCACTAAGCACATAGTTCTTACGTGAATACACTTCTATAAATCCTTTTGATTTAGGATTAGCAGCAGTCCAGAGTTTGCCAAGGTTTGTTCAGAGTTTGCCAAGCTTCAGAAATCAAACCAAGTTAGGACACTGTACCAGATTTGTGGCATTTTAGTGCAACCAATCCATTTTCATTAAAAAATATAATGTGGATGAACAGGTACATGAATCAATAAAATAATAATTTGAGATGTTTCATCTGAAGAGAAAATGTTTAACTTTCTATTTACATAAAAATAATAACAAATAGTAGTGTTTATTATGTGCAAGGCACCATTGTAAGTATTTGACCTACATTAGTTCATTTAAGACCCAGTAGCTACTATGACGGCCCTAGTTCACAGAAGAAAACACTGCAGCACACAGCAGTTCCTCTCTAAAGGTGGTGTAGCTCATAGGTCTGGATTTAGGATTTGAGCTCAGCTAGCCTCACACCCAAAGTCCAAACCACTATACTATAATCCCTCTCAGTAAATTGGATTAAAAGGATTAAAAGAACACATTGTTTTAAATAGATTTCATTTTATAGAGCAGTTTTAGGTGCATGGAAAAATGAAGCGAAAAGCATAGAGAATTCCTGTACCTCACTGCCCCACACACGAATAGTCTCCTCACCGTCAGCACCCTCATGGGAGTGGCACATTTGTTATAACCGATGAGCCCACGCTGGCACATCATGTCACCCGAAGTCCAAGGTTTGCATTAGGATTCACTCTTGGTGGTGTACATTCTATAGGTTTGGACAAATGTAGAATGATATGTATCCACCACCATTGTATCAGACAGAATAGTTTCACGGCCCTAAAAGTTTTCCGTGCTCACCCATTCATCCCTCCCTCCCACTAGCCCATGGCAACCACTGATCTTTCTACTGTCTCCATAGTTTTGCCTTTTCCTCAACGCCATAAAGTTGGAATCATGCAATATGTGGCCTTTTCATATTGGCTCATTCACTTGGTAATATGCATTTACATTTCCCCCATGTATTTTCATGGTTTAATAGCTCACATTTTTAAAATGCTGAATAGTACTCCATTGTCTGAATGTACCACAGTTCCTTTATCCATTCACCTACTGAAGCACATCGTGGTTGCTTCCAGTGAATAAAGCTGCTATAAACATCCATGTGCAAGTTTTTGTATAGACAAGTTTTCAGTTCCTTTGGGTAAATGCCAAGGAACTGGATTCTATCATAAAAGTGTATTTACTCTTTTAAGAAACTGCCAACTTGTCTTCCAAGGTAGCTGTACCATTTTGCATTCCCACCAGCAATGAAGCAGATTTCCTGTTGCTCTGCATCTTCACCAGCATTCAGTACCTTCAGTGCTTAGATTTTGGCCATTCTAATTGTTGTATAGTGGAATCTCATTGTTGTCTTAATTTGCAATTCCCTAATGACATATAATGTTGAACATATTTTCATATGCTTATGTGCCATATGTATATCTTCTTTGCTAAGGTGGCTTTTGCCCATTTTTTAATTGAGTCTATTTACTGTTTGTTGGGTTTTAAGGTTTTTGTGTATTTTGGATTACAGTCCTTCACTGATATTTCTTTTGCAGGTGTTTTCTTCTCAGTCCTTGGCATGTCTTCCTAGTTTCTTGATTAAAGGACATTTTTATGTGGTTAAATAGTATGAGAAGGAACATTTTAGTAAAATGGTGGTCCTGCCACCAGTTATATGCATTTCAAGTTACTATATTTAAAAGATATTTTCATTATGCTTTACATTTAATGATACTAAACATTTCTAAAATGAATTCACTCCTATTAAACCTTTGTAATTAGCACATACTGTATTTTAACAAAAAAATCTATTAGGAAATATGACCAAAAAATGGCCTAAATCTCCCTCTCTGGAGTTCAAGGCAGGGGGACAGGTCCCTGCTGGAGATCCAGAATTTAAATTTGAGAAGAAAAAGAGAGTGTGTATATGTGTGTGTATTTATGTGTATGTATGTGCATGAGTGTATGTATATGTGCATGTGTGTGCATGCATGTATCTATATGTATGTGTATCTGTGTGACACAGAAGGAGAAATTGAGAGAATGAGTGGATAAAATTATCTAGGGAATCTATAGTATATGCAATTCATTCCTTACAGTGGAATACTGTTCAGCATAAAAAAAGGGGGAGGGAATGAGCTATAACATGGATGAATCTCAAAACAATTATCCTGAATGAAATAAATCAGACAAAAAAAGAATTTATAATATATGATGACATTTATGCAAAATTTTAGAAAATGCAAACTGTAATGAGACAAAGCAGATCAGTGGTAATGGGGGTGAGGATAAGGGCAGAATGAAGGGATTCCCAAGGGGCACAAGGGAACTTTTAGGGTGATTGATATGTTCATTATCTTGACTGTGATCATGGTTTCACGGGTGTATACATATGTCAAAACTTATCAACTTGTATACTTTAAATATATGCAGTTTTATTGTATGTCACTTGTACCTCAATAAAGCTGTAAAAAAAAAAAACAAAGAAAAAAGTAAGCTTGGTTTCTGAATGTCTGGAATTGATTTATGTAGACTTTGATCTAATATTTGAAAGTGAAAGCAATGCAAGAGTAAACATTTCGCAGGATAGCAGTGAAAATGTCATTAGAATGTTAGATTCATAAAACCAAGTGCCATTTTAAAAATGCAAATAAGTTCTTTCACATTCTGGTTGCATTACAATTCAACCTTTAAAGGAAAACATGTATTTTATGCTTGCTTCTTACCAGACCAACAAAACAGGATTTGATTTATTTCACCTCTGTGACACACCTTGAGCTAGCTATTATAGCTTGAGTTCAGAAGTTCATCACCTTTACATATGTAATAAAATTCATTCCAAATTCCTCTTTGAAAACATTTATGAACAATGTCTTTGTACTTTTTGTGGCTGTGTCAACTAGCTTATCTCTGACTAAGGGTCACACTGTATTTCCTGCAATAGGTGAACATCATCCTACAACACTGCCTTTGTCTCATAAACACTTAAAGAACAAAGAGCAACAATGCCTGGCTACACCTATTTATTCCCTTTATTTCATACTCCTAATATACCTGTGTACCTTGTGGAAACATAAATTCTTATTGACTGACACTGACGAACTTAATTAACTTACACATTTTACCTAACCCCCAAACAGAGACAACAACAAGAAAACCAACATGTTATAATACTTTGAGATCACTGGGTAGATGTACTACCTGTGATCTACCATCCCCAGGGATTTAAACTGCTCTTGAGCAAACATACGTTATAAATGAGACCTGGCAGGCACCTGGGGGGTGGTTGAGGTCTGCATTTATTGCTGAACTTTGACACAACGCCCTCAACTGATTGGTGGTGTTCTGGAAATAGTTAGCTGATATGACACGTCTCAGCAGAATAATTTGGTATTATTAGCATGACATTTGATATTAAATATAACATTATGGTAATCAGGGATCACTGTTTCTTATCTCAGAGAAATCACTAATTTAAAAAGCACTGAAACAAGTTAATCCAAGAAATTAGTTAAAACTGAATATAGAAATGACTAGTTAAATTTGACTGTTGATTAGAGAATTAACAATTATGGGAAATAAGATAGATAATATTTACTACAGTAAAATAGGTTTTTCTTGGCATTTTTTTTTCTTTTTGGGGAGGTTGATCTAGGCAGGAATTAGAGGGAAAATGATGCTATCTATGTAAGCTATAATACTGCTTTTTTATTCCAGACCATGAATTTAATCAGTTACTTTTGTATATATGTGGAAAATTAAAAATTGAAATATTCCATAATTGATTATATTTCATTGTTGACTACATACTTATGAAAGGAAATAAAAAGGGCCATAAATTTTTATTTCCATCTTCCTAAGTCATAGGGCAAGAAGATCTAGGTATCTACTAAAGATTAAAATCAAAAGAAGTTAACTTTTAATTTTCTTAAACTCTTAGAAACATCACTCAAGACAGGTTGCTGACAGGAAACTGTATACAAATTTATTGTAAAGACTAATAATCTCCAAGACCTCTTATGCAATTCAAATTTTTTCAGTCATTTGGAAGCCTTAAAAAATGTAGTATACTTTTTTAAATTCAGACTTAAAAACTGAAAATGAGGTGGTGATATACTAGCTTTAAAGATGATTGTCTTTGTATTTTAGATAACGTTGATTTTTTCTTGACTTTCCAGAAAGCCAGAGAGACACAAAAACTTACATATCACTCTTGGCTATGTTCCTAGGTGTAACTAGCCCACTATAAATGCTGGGCACTATAAGTCGGTGGGGAATAAAACTATGCTATGGCTATTGGGTTTTAGAAAGTTACTGCTTTTATTTTAGTGTATTATTACCCAGATTAATCTTAAATTGAAATGGCCACAAAAATGCTCATTTGCATAGTCAATGGATAAAGTCTCCTTATTTTTTAATCAAATTATTTAAATTTCTTATTTGTTTCAGGACTCATGCCTGTTGCACAGCAGCCTGTTTATTGTGCATCAAAGCATGGCATAATTGGATTCACACGCTCGGCAGCGGTGAGGCTACAACAACTATAATAGCTCTTTTTTCTCTTTGTGTACCTATATTCAACACAAATTCTTTAGAGGGGAATAAATTGAGAATGCAATATATCTGGATAAAAGATAGAAAAATAATATACTTCAATCTTTATTATAAAAAAAAATAGTTTTAGGATCACATAAAGGACCAAATAAAGAATGGATCATTTTAAAATGAAGTAAATTCTAAATACATATATGTTATTGAAAAATATACTAAGGATAAATATAAGGGGAGATATTCATATAAGGATAAATAATGGGGAGATACTATTTATTTTTAAAATTGACTCCAAATTTAAATATTATTAACTTCAGGCTTTCTTAGATAGAACATGTGAGAGGTTCCAGACATTTCTTGTCACTGGAGATACTGTTGCCACCCAACTAGGTTCATTGGCTGCCCAAGAAGCCAATATGCTGAGTCAGCAGGTGTTAGGGCTGAGACAGAGTCTTTATTCCACATAGTGCTAAGCAGGGAGACCGGAGAATTCTCAAACCCGCCTCCCTGAGAATTCAGGAGACAGGGTTTCTAAGGATAGTTTGGCAGGCAAGGGATTAGGCAATTAGGTTTGTTAATTGGGGCAAAATTATAGCATGTAGAAATCATCTTCTTGTGTTGCTGTAGTCCCTGAGGTCACAATTTCAGTTGAGTCAGTTACTTGATATGGGCTGCTGGTCTGGGTGTGCCAATCGATCCACTGGAATGCGAGGCCTGGAAGATATCTTAAAAACTACCTTTAGGTTTCAAAAAGGTGATGTTATTTGTGGAGAGAGTTAAGAATCTTTATGGCCACCAACTATGGGGAGAAGTTAAGAATCCATATGACCACCAGCTACATGGCTCCAGAGTGGCGATTACAGGGGGACAGTTACTAACTGTTACCATTATTTTTAGTTAGGCCCTTACCACAGTTCTCACCTTGTACCCCATTATTATTTGTTTTGTTTTTTCAAATTTTTTATTCTTTAATATTTTTACTTTTTTTCCTTCAGTCCTGGCCTAGCGCCCCGTTATTGAAGGGTGGTTTCACTAGGATGGAAGTGAGTGGGAGCTGGAAGGAGGGGGGCCGGGCATTTCCTTGCTAGAGTGGGCCAGGACAGCATCTCCCATGGAGGCCTAGGGTGCAAGGTGTACAGAGCTTAAAAAATACTTTAGAACTAATTGACCACATACATTGACAGCATGAGATGAGAATGCTTGCCTTTTTATATGCTTGCCTTTTTGTACTGTAATAACCGAGCAGCCTGGCTAGAGCCCGGCAAGCAAGGAAAGTATACTGAGGTATGACTGGAGATACCAGCAGGAGGCAAACCACCAGTGGCTCATGAGCCAAGATTCTGAGCTTGGGTTTTATTCTAAATGCCCCCATCGAAAGTTCTTTTGCACACAGGAGCAGTAAGATCAGATTTCCATTTTAAGAAGTCCATTCTGCCTGCTACTTGGAAAATGCCTTACAAAGGACATATAGAGAAGAGGAAGGAACAGTTGAGGGGTATGTGAGTGGCTCATCTAGCTGAGACAAGAGAGGGGCCAGAGAGATGAAGAGGAAAATATTAAAAGAAGAAACACTAAGGGACAGAAGAAATAGTGTGTAAATGTTCCATGTTCAATAAAAAAATGAAGATAAGCCGTTCTCACACTCAATTTAAATTGATTGGAAATTATTATTTAATTTGCAAAGACTTAATCTTCAAGTCAACTTTTTATAAACACATAAATATATTACAAAGAAAAGTAAATCTTAAAGACCAGAAATTTTGTATTTAAAATTATAAGACTAGAAACTTCTATAGTCAATTCTCATTATTCACAGTAGTTGTGTTCTATGAAGTCACTTGCAAACACTGGAGTAGGGACTACTGAACAAGGGCTTTTAGGGGTAATACAGGGTTAGGTTCCTGAATGCCTCTGGTTACAGCATTTTGATCAACTGATCAATACATAATCTTGTTTTATGACTATTTCTATTTAAAGATACCTTGTTTATTATCTATTGTATGAAGATTGAACTCATGGCTAAAGCACTTATAACTCAGGCCTGAATGAAGTTTATCTAACACATGTATTTTCTCTAAGGCACATCACAGCCTTCTTAGCTTAGAAATGCCACACAGCACTTCTGCACTATGTTTGGGGGCCACTTTCAACAGCAAAATCTCCAAGAAGCACAAAAATTAGAAAAATGTGGCAAGGCAGAGTGTGACAGTCTTGTTTAACCTCAGCACTGTATCTCTCACTGCTCTGCCTGTGTCCACAAATGACCACAAAAGCTCCACAAGTATTGGTTTCTGGGGTTACAAACAAATTTTAGCAAGTAAGCCGATTTGCAAACATGTAATCCATGAATAATGAGAATTTACTGTATTTTTATTTTACAAACAGTTCAGATAAAATCAATAAGTTGAAAATTAAGCCAAAGAATACTAGTCTGAAAATACTTCAGTGGTTTTCCAGACAGTGTAGATGAAGAGTTCTTCTGCACTGTCTGGAAAACCATTGAAGTTTGCTTGGAACCAAACCATTGGAATCCATCAAAGTCCTAAAAATTTTCACTGAAAGTATTTTTTAAGCAAATATTCTGTTTTACAAGCACAATCTTGAAAGGAAATTTAGTATATCAATTCTAAGCCTCAGCTGCCTAGTTTCAGGTTCCTGCAGAGTTCAGTAGATAAGAACAGCTTAGGTAATTAAGTATTTCCAGGATTTATCCAGTAATACTTTTTTAAAAAATTAATTAGATGAGGTATATTAATGTATTAATTCCTGAAAGTCTCTTTGGGTATGTGTTCTTTTACTATATTTCTGCTTATCCATCATTGTTACATAGTTCGCAGAACAGCTCACTAGTATTTTTTACATCAGAGTGGTTTAAATAGCTTTAATTATCAGTTTGTCCTATGCTGAATGTTTACAAAACTGCTAAAACCTCCAACCTTCTGCTTTCAATTGGCAGATGGCTGCTAATCTTATGAACAGTGGTGTGAGAATGAATGCCATTTGTCCAGGCTTTGTTAACACGCCCATCCTTGAATCCATCGAAAAAGAAGAAAACATGGGACAATATATAGAATATATGGGTCCTATCAAGGCTATGATGAAATACTATGGAATTTTGGAGTAAGTAAAACCATATCTTCCTTATATGATGCATCAAGGTACTATTTAGACAAGCAATAAAAAGTGAAAAAAATAAGCTTCAAAGTTTTGATTTGGTGAACTCTCTGGAAGAAAGTTTTTTTTTCTTAGTTTCTGAATAGAATGTACTTATATGTTATGAATTTAGCTTTGAAATATAGACAATGCCTTGTTAATACTTTCAGCCATAATATTTTTTAAAGGTGATATTTAATCACTATTGAAGGCAATGATATCTTATCTTTATTGCTTAAATTCCAAGCAATATTCAAATATGCTCTTTGTGAAATATGTATGGTTCCATAACTTCAACCATTTTCATAAGACACAACTGATCAATCCCCCACACACACACACACACAATGAACCCCGGCTAGAGTGCCGTGGCATCAGCCTAGCTCACAGCAACCTCAAACTCCTGGGCTCAAGCGATCCTCCTGCCTCAGCCTCCTGAGTAGCTGGGACTATAGGCATGCACCACCATGCCTGGCTAATTTTTTCTATTTTTAGTAGAGATGGGGCCTCATTCTTGCTCATGCAAATCTCAAACTCCTGAGCTCAAATGATCCTCCCACTTCAGCCTCCCAGAGTGGTAGGATTACAGGTGTGAGCCACTGCGCCCAGCCACACACAATAGATTAAGTCTGACTTAGGGTAGTTGGGGCTTTCACCATACAGAATATCAAAACAAATTTAGGGACTTCTGAAAGACTTAAATAAAATGGTATGTATGTGTAAGGTACTTAAAACAGCAACTGGTAAAAAAAATAAGATGTTCAATAAATGCTAGCTATACTTCATCCTATTTCTACTCTGATAACATTTTTATCTGGTAAATCTAAGATCTGCTGATATGATAAATGTGAGAAAATTATCACTTTCTCAATGTAAATAATGAATATAAAGCCTTCTTGCCAAAATGGCAGGTTAGACATGGAAATCTATCACTAAATTTGTCATATAATTTAGTTAACTTCTAATTGAATAAAAAAAAATTAGAGGTAGCAATAGCTTAATGGCATATATTTCCCTATTTCATATTCCAGGTAGTAGATTCTTTAGAAAATAACTTAAGATGAAATGATAAGATACCTCATTGTTTCATTTCAAAATACTAACATTTCCTTTATTTTTAGCCCATCAATGATTGCCAGTGGATTAATAACACTCATTGAAGATGATGCTTTAAATGGCGCTGTTATGAAGATCACAACTTCTAAGGGAATTCATTTTCAAGACTATGATACAACTACACATCTTACAAACACTCAGTGATCAGCCTATATATCATCCATAACTGAAAATAAGCACAAATGACACAGACCATATCATTTGAACATAGCCTTTTAAATGAAATATTAGAGTTTGAAGCTTTCCTTAATGCATTTGATATTGATTTTCTAAATTTTTTGTTAAATATATGGATAAACATTATGAACTATCAAAAATATTGTGTGGGCCAAAGCTAGGTTGTGATCTCTACAGTTTAAAAAATGATCAAAACAAAGGATATTCAAAGAATATTCTGCCTTTCAGAAAATGTATTTAAATCTGTGGTTCGTAAATGTTAATGTTTTCCAGAACATCATTTCAAAGGAGATACTTGAATTGTTATTTAAATCAACCAGATATAAAAAACTCACTTTATATTTTCGCACTTTAAAAGAGGGAAGGCTACTTAACAATGTCAGACGTTTAGTGATAATAACTGTTACTTTTATACCATCATTCAGCTCTTTAAGTGACACATTTAGAGGCCAGTAGATAATAAATTACGGTGTGAATATAACCCAAATGAAAATCTGATGTATGGAAAAATGACAGAAAGTACTTGGTTGAGACTGCTGGTGCACAGTTCAGCCTCCCATCTGGGAAAAACATTTCTTTCCTCCTTGCTTTCTTCAAGAACTTTAATTGACTTCAAAAACCTCAGGAATTAAACTTTTAATAGTTATAGCAATAAATGAATAGTTAGTGCTTCAAAATTTTATATTTAAGATACACTCATGTAGAAGAAACATGCAAATTTACTTTTCTTCCAGATTACTACTTTGTTAATTTGTATCAATTTCAAAAGTACCCACCCTTCAATAAAACTCTTTTACTCTAATTTCCCCATAAGTTACTTAGTCCTCTATGTATAGCTATTGAGGAGATGAAACCAATTTTGCCACAGCTGAAACTGTAAATGTTTTTGTAAATATGCTGAAATTCATAATAAAACAGGTAAAAATAGCTGTAATGTTTTGCCCTTTTTGCTGTTAGGTAGTCTAAGATAGGCTCGTTAAGAGCACCTGCTTTAGGTAACACGCTGCAAGTAATAATTAATGCTAATAACAATGAAAGCATAAGATTTCCAAATCAATCATTTCCTCAAGGAAATACTATATTGACTCACTCTGTTAAATCCAGACCTCCCAGCTTGGAGCAAAATCCTTCTATGTGAGGTTGATAAGGATTTCCTAGAGATACTGGAGTGTTCTTAACCTCACTCTTTTAATTCTGCCATAAATAACTATTGCCTTTACGTCTAAGGAGTAATTTGAATATGAATAACGTAGTCTAGAGTTTCACACAATGTATTTGACAAACACTAAGAAATGAATTTCAATGAACATCTGATAGAGATAAATTGTAATTAGTCACAAACTTGGCAGTGACCAATCATTGAATAGTATAGATATGTTCAGTCTCGCTTTTCTTATATATTTTCCCACTGTAATGTAAAGCTATAACTTAAATTTTTCATTTACGGATAATTTTTTGGACTGCAGCCTTCAATATACTCTGTGCTTTGAACTAATTTTTTTAAATCAATAAATTATGTAGACATTTGAAATCAAATACTGAGTAGCACTGAAAAAAAAATGTTAAAAACTTATTTTACTTTAAAATGTTTCTTCTATAAATAGTTTTAAATAAATCTATAATGTTATATGATATTTCTGTATACTGCTTGAGAAAAAATTGAGGAGGACACCTTAATTTTCCTTAATTGTATTTTTTAGTGAAAATCCTAATGTAAAGAATATGTACATTTTTCAAATGCATTTTTCTTAATAAACAGAGTTGAGACTCTCAGAACAGCAAAACTAGAAATATGTGAACATTCAAAAAAAGATGAAGAGACTTGATAATGACATTTAAATGTCCAACGAACTTAATTTTCTCATATAAAAATAATTTTAGATAATTGGGTATCATTTGCAAGTGAGCATGTAATGATTTCTGTTTATTTTTCATGTGTACAAATTTAGAATACTGAAGTCTGAAAATGTAAATTTTTAATAAAATTCAAGTTATTTCACATACTGAAGATCATCTGAAGAGTAGTTTTTCTTACACCAGAATTTCAAAAGGAAAGTTTGTTGGTGCATAGGAAAAGGTGTCTGCATCTGAGGTCACAGTTTGCATCCTAAGGAATCCATCGCCTCTCCTCTTGTCAGCCTCCCACCTGGGAATGACCTGACTGCCACCCCTCCAGCCTAGCAAAACAAAAATTCGGTTTTGGCAAAAGAGTTCACTGGCCTTTCTTTGGTTATGGGCCCCGCTACTGAGGCAGTCCTTGTGATCAGAGATGGCTTCTTTGCCACCCCCAGAGCTGGGAGAGTTCGGGAGTGGCAGGGGGACAGGAGAGGTGGGCAGGAAATTTACCTGAACCTTGTGGACTGGCTAACAAGGAAAGGGAAAATTTCCAAAAGGAAAAGTGTGCTGTCATTACGAAAAAGTGGGTGAATGATAGCCACTATAGAGGAAGACAAAGATCGGTGATGTCTCAATCCTTTGGACAAGCTTGCATACTGTTGTGGTTCCTATAACATGCCTAGGGCCATGTTTTTCAAACTGTGTGTGCCACACTGGATAGGGTATGATAAAAGAGAAGAAAATGAATAGGAAGTACAGAAGGCATCTCATGCATATATCATTGTACTCATTCTCAATATACAATTATTTCTTATTGTGAATCAGTGGAAAAGGTACTTGCTTTAGATTGACTTCAAGCATTGCCTTGAAACTTGCTTTATTTTTGAGTTTCTGCCTATCCTATTATCTTAATTCTATGGTTACATTCAGGCTTATTAGCACCACTTCTAATTCCTCTCACTAAAATCTCACTGTGTATAAATGTCAGCTAACATTAAATTTTATAAGAATCTCTAACTTTAACTTGGAATCATGAAAATATCTTTTAAAGCATCCTAGATTGTCTTAAGAGAAATATGAATTCCCAAAACATGGTGAGTTAATATGTCCGTTCTTTGTATTATCAGATGACTTCTGGGATATTGTGTTTTAGTCTAAGTACCAAATTTTAAGAGGACTTTGCCAATCTGAAATTTGGATTTTATCTTAAGTACAATGCGAGAAACACTCAAAACTTCAAAATACTTGGAATTATTGTCATAAGGAAGACAGAATAGACATAGTGGTCTCCTAGAAACAGAATTATGAACAAGTGGAGGTGAAAGGAATGCAGCATATGGAACCATCAGAATTAGGATGCTCCCAATGAAACACATGTGGCCTGGGAACAGAAAATCACTGCTGATTGAGATGCTGCAGCCAATGCCAGCTAACCGTCTCATCTCAGCATAAGTGAAAAGTTGGACCATATGACCGTTAGAGTTATTTTAACTTCATTTCTACTCTACAGTACCGATATGATCCCTTGCAGAAAGTAATACCACTCATGGCGATGTTTCCTTGATCCTAAAGGTCATTATGATATTCTTGCACTGTTTTCTTTTTCTTCTTCTTCTTCTTCTTCTCCTTCTCCTTCTCCTTCTTCTTCTTTTTGGTTCTCATTCTGTTGCTCAGGTTAGAATGCAATGGCATCATCACAGCTCACTGTAACCTCAAACTCCTAGCTTCAAGTGATCCTCCTGTTTCAGCCTCCTGAGTAGTTGGCATCACAGGCAGGCGTCACCACACCCAGCAAGGGTCTCACTCTTGCTCAGGCTGGTCTCCAACTTCTGACCTCAAGCAGTCCTCCCGTCTCAGTCTCCCAAAGTGCCAGGATTACAGGTGTGAGGCACTGCGCCTGGCCTCTTTCTAATTTTTTTTAATGTCTACTTTCTCCCATTTATTTAATACCTTCGGTATTTTGGTAGGAATGTTTCCAGAACTATGTGGCCCTAGCTTGCTACTTCTGCTGCTGCTGCCCATCCTATGGCCACCTACGGGCCTACTCCCAGGCATTGGCAAGGACCTTTTTAAATGAGTCACAGTGGCCACCTAACTTTGAATAAATCCAGTGCTGATTTTATCCAGATTTTGTTACACAAGCCATGTGAAATATTAGTTCATTAATGGCCTGCTCCATTCTTCCTGTCCACAGGGCTAGAGACAGGTAGCGAGGTTTCTGGGAAGAGAGGATGTTTTGAGCATCAGATAGTCTTCTTAAGTAAATTTCATCGTCCTTATCTGATGACCACTGAACTCTTATGACAACACTTATCTTTCTTGTTGTTTCCTCTTCCTCTATCTTATCAGTGAGGGAATGGTGTAAGTTTATGGGACTAAGGCGAAGACATACCTAGGGTTTTATGGGAGTGAAGGTGTTGAGGTTTGTGGGATTGAGTGAGAAAGTTGGCTCTTTCCAGCACAGGACTTTTTGTTTAATCCCTTTTCTCTGATCCACTTCCACTGCCCAAAGTCAAGTTCTCAGAGCATCTTACAAGTGTTAACGTATTTTCATTTTTTCATAACCACTCTCAATCCTATAGTATCTATCCCAGACAATTAACTCTACATACTATTGTTGGTGTAATCTAATGTACGCCTCTAACTGGATCTCCCCCCAGCTCAAAGCCTCCTGCCTCCAGTTTCCAGAGGCATAAAGTCCAGACCTCCAGCCAGACGCGTCAGGGCTTCTCACAACAGGAGCACAATCACCATTCCGGCCTTATCTGGGCTACTCCTGATCAAATTGCTGGCTTCCCCAAATCCCGCCTTGGCTTTGCTTACTCTATTCCCCTTTTATATTCATCTGTAAATCTTCCCCCTTAAAAGGGCTAGGAGAGTGTGCCATGGGATGGTTACAGTGGAATTCCTACAAATGGAAGGAAATGAATAGGAGCTGTGTGGGGAGCAGGAGTTTTAGGGTGAAGATACTAGGAAGAGCTTTGGATGCATCTCAGAGAAATATGGTTTTCATATTTACCCTAGTATAAAAACATGAGGAATAGATTTCTGAATTTAATTTTCTGCATACAGATGTTTGTAATCATTGTTGATTCTGATTCAACTGGATAATGAATATGCTTCTCATATTATGGTCACAGCACCTAAGACAGAGAGGCAGCCCCTGCTGGTCCCCAGTACCTCCTGGTACACAGCAGTGCCTGTTGCTTGCTGGCGGATCTGAGCCGGGTAGGGATGGGGGTTGGTCAGTCGTAATCCAAAGGTCCTGCCTGTCGCAGGACTTCATCTCTGGACAATTGCCCTTTCTTGTGTTCTAAAGCTCCCCAAGTCAGGCGAGAGTGTCACTGGGTTGCTCCTGTATCTCCAAGTCGTTTCACACGCAGCACAACAGAGCAGCCGTGGATCTCTGCTCCCATTGTCCTTACCCGTCCCACTGCGTGCCGCACGCGAGACAGTCCTGTTTCCTGTCGTCCCTGTGAAATATACAAGGCTTGAAGAAAACAAAACAAAGCAGACTATGTGGAGAGCTCCTCACTCATACAGACACAATTTGATGAATACAAAGCCAGAGCAGATAGAAATGGCCGTTTCCAATAAAACTTACTCTTTTAAAAGACTACTCATTTTTAAGGTTTCTAAGACAAATGTTGGTGGCTTTTTTCCATTTACTTTCTCCTGGCTCCTTAAGTATTTTATAGCAGAGAAAAGGGCTTGAGTCATCCTCACAGTGATTCTCAGTCAGAGGCTTCCTTGTTTGTCTCCATTCCCTTTTTGCAGAAACAAAAACTGGAAAAAATAAAAAAAGGGCAAATGAACCCTTCCTTAAACTTCCCTTTTTTAAACTTATAGTCAAGCAAATCTGCTATATTTCAGCTTATCTGTAACAAATCTTGCTTTAATGATGTTTTAACCTGCATGTGAAAAACTAACAAAATGAAATATTTTTCTGTTCTTCCTTCCCCCACTACCTGAATAGGAAAAGCCTGCTTCACCTGATTATAGTGCATTTTTTATAGTCCAAAATAGTCTTTTCCCCAAATGTAAGAGAAAATTATGAAGAAAGTTAAATAATCTTCTTGGAATATTGTGAATTCCAAGAATATCAATAGATCTGTCTTTAATTATACATACATTTATTGAAAAAGCACCCAACTCCAAGTACAGTACTAAACATCCAAAAAGCCAAAAATTAATACGCCACGTGCCTGCCTTTAGAGAGATCACAGTGTTTGCAAAACCAATATGTAAGAGAAAAAGAAAAAAATCATCTTAATTTCATGTTATAAAGATAGTCATTGATTTATGCGTAAGGCTAATGGGCAATTCAATGGGAACTCTGCCTATGTGGCCAGGGAAGGAGAAGGCTTCATAAAATAGGAGACACCTGAGCAGAGCCTTAAAGGCTTCTTCAGAGTTTGCGAGGAGGACGTTCCAGGGAGAAATACACCTCAGTTAATTCAACAAACTATAATCAGTTCTGTATGAGTCTAGCACAGCACTCACTCAAGGTTGAAAACAAGTACGGAGCATCCTGAGTGTGTTTTAAAAGATTTGCACTTTGTCTTGGCAATGGGGAACCTTTCATGGATGTTAATCAAGAAATGATCTGAACAGGTCTGTGTCTGGAGCTGGTCCAGAATGGAGCCAACAAGGGCGGGCCAGGGAGTCTGGGGGACTAAGTGGAAGACTGTAGCAAAATTCTGTAAGAGAGATGATAGAGGCCTTAATAAATGCAGTAACAGTGGAGATGAAGAGGAAAACACAGACGGGAGCATAATTAGGAAATCAGAATCATCAGTGTCACATTGGAACTGAGCAATAAAAGAGCAGGAGAACTTTGGAACAACTCACAGGTTTTCCAGATGCTATGTGCAAAGCTTTAAAAAACATCAGCAGCATCGTTGATATTTCCTGAAGGCTTACTCTGTTCCAGATACTGTAACAAGAACTTCATTTCAAATCCTGTAACAATTCTATAAATCAGATACTGTTATTATCCAGATAGTAGAAAATGAACAGAGTTTCAACGCCCCTTCGGGAAATCATCGAAATGTAACTGTAATACCTTTAGCTTTGCACTAGAATCACCTTTCAACACATTTTGATATTTATTATTTACTTTCACCATATCCACATAAGGCAGCGGTCAGATACTAAATCTACTTTATTTTA